TGAAAGAAAGGTATGATCACCAGAAAACGGTGATTCTCCCCCGGGCTCGTTACGAATGGATGCATTTACACTTCCAAGATTTCAAAACTGTTAACGAGTACAATTCGGCCATGTTCCGCATTTGTTCGGTATTGAAATTATGCGGAGAAAACATAACTGATTATGATATGCTGGAAAAAACGTTGTCCACGTTCCACGCTTCAAATGTACTATTGCAGCAACAATACAAAGCAAAAGGCTTTGTAAAATATTCTGAGTTGATTTCTTGTTTGCTGTTGGCTGAACAAAATAACGAGTTGTTGATGAAAAATCATGAATCTAGACCCACGGGGTCTACTGCGGTCCCTGAAATTAATGCTGTAATATCTAAACAGGGAACCGGAACTGAAAACAGCCAGACATATGTGCGTGGAAATACCTCGGGACGTGGTCGGGGTCGTGGACGTGGACTTGGCCGTGGCCGTGGATATGGCCCAGATCGCCGATTTGACCAAGGCTTCAAATTTCACAGAGGGTACAACTCGGGCCGAGGGAATTATCATGGACGAGGCCGTGGCTATGTCCAAAATTATGAAAGGGGGAGAAATTTCCAGCCAAAATTTGAACAAAATAATGTGACGGAGAATAATAATGAAAATGCATGTTATCGATGTGGAAAGACAGGACATTGGGCACGAAACTGTCGTGCTCCGAAACACGTTGTTGATAAAGATAATGATTCCCATAAATCAAAAGATAAAAATGTAGAAACTAATTTTATAGTTGGGGAATCATCTGAAAATAATACAACACGTGTAGATGATGACTATGGCATCGATGACATGTTGAACTTGGATTTTGCTGATGCGGTATTTGAAGAAAGAGCTGGAAATGACCAAGAGAACAACTGATTATCCTGTTTCTTTTATTGCTTTCTAAGTTTTTGTTGTATTTGCATATTTGTACTAGTTGTATCTGTATTTCAAATTTGATCAATAATAATGTTGTTTTCTTTTAGATCATGGATCGGTCTCGAATTCAAAATGGAGATATATGTCTTGCAGATTGTGCCACAACTCATACTATACTCAAGGACAGAAAATATTTTGTCAACTTGAAGTTAAATAAAGCAAAAGTAAACACAATATCTGGAAATGCAAAGATAATTGAGGGTTCTGGAAAAGCCATATTTTTTATGATGGGAGGTACAAAGTTTACATTGAATGATGCATTATTCTCCCCGAAATCAACAAGACATTTGTTGAGTTTTAAAGATATCCGAATGAACGGATACCATGTTGAAACAATGAATGAAGGGGAAGTTGAATATCTTTGCATTACCTCAAATGTTGCGGGAAATAAATGTGTTTTGGAGAAATTGCCAGCTTTATCATCGGGCTTATATTACACCCGCATTTATATTATTGAGACTTATGCTGCAACAAAGTCACAGGCGAATGAAATGTTTAAACTTTGGCATGATAGACTTGGTCATCCTGGCTCGATAATGATGCGAAGAATTATTGAAAATTCTAGTGGACATCCGTTAAAAAATCAAAGGATATTGCAAACACATGAATTGACATGTGCCTCATGTTCTCAAGGGAAATTGATAATAAGACCATCGCATACTAAAGTCGGGCATGAATCACCATTATTTTTAGAAAGGATTCATGGTGATATATGTGGACCTATTCATCCACCTTGTGGTCCATTCAGATATTTTATGGTGTTAATTGATGCTTCTAGTAGATGGTCTCACGTGAGTTTGTTATCCACTAGAAATGTGGCATTTGCTAAATTGCTTGCCCAACTTATCAAATTAAGGGCTCAATTCCCAGATTATATTATAAAAAGGGTTAGACTGGACAATGCTGGAGAATTTACATCTCAAGCATTTAATGATTATTGTATGGCAGTGGGAATTGATGTTGAACATCCTGTAGCACATGTTCACACTCAAAATGGTCTAGCAGAATCATTGATTAAACGACTGCAGCTTATAGCCAGACCATTGATAATGAGGACAGAACTGCCCACTTCAGTATGGGGATATGCTATTCTGCATGCAGATAATCTAATTCGAATAAGACCAAGTGCACACCATACATACTCGCCATTACAATTGGCATCTGGTCGAGAACCAAATATTGCACACATAAGAATTTTTGGTTGTGGAGTGTATGTACCAATTGCTCCGCCCCAACGTACGAAAATGGGGCCTCAAAGAAGGTTGGGAATATATGTTGGATATGAATCTCCATCAATAATAAAATACCTTGAACCAAAAACAGGTGATGTTTTTACAGCTCGGTTTGATGATTGTCATTTTAATGAAGAATTATTTCCCCCTTTAGGTGGGAATGAAAAGTCAAGTGAGAAAAATATTGAATGGAGAACATCATCACTATCATATCTTGATCCTCCCACCAAACAAAGAGAGCAAGAAGTTCAAAAAATTATACATCTGCAGAATATTGCAAATCAATTGCCAGATGCATTTACTGACACAAAAAGGGTGACAAAATCACATGTTGCAGCTATAAATGCCCCTGCTCGAATTGAGATTACAAAAGAAATGGCAAATGACGATGTGTCAAATGAATTAAAGGCACGCTTGAAACGAGGAAGGCCAGTGGGGTCTAAAGATAAGAATCCTCGAAAGAAAAAAGAAATTCAAGATTCGAATTTGAAAAAGAATCAAAATGATGGAAAAATTTCGGGAAAAAATGAAAATATTGAAATATCCATCAATTACGTAAATAATGGGAAACTTTAAAAGCGTGATGAGATCATTGATGATGCGTTCGCATATATGGTATCACAAGAAATTGACAAAGAAGTTGAGGATCCTGAACCAAAATCTATAATTGAATGTCAAAAAAGACATGATTGGGAAAAGTGGAAAAGCGCTATTCAAGCCGAGTTAAATTCGCTTAATAAACGAAAGGTGTTTGGACCTATAACCATTATACCCAAAGACATAAAACCTATTGGGTACAGGTGGGTTTTTGTCAGAAAAAGAAATGAGAAAAATGAGATCACAAGATATAAAGCTCGCCTTGTAGCTCAGGGATTCTCCCAGAGGCCTGGGATTGATTATGATGAAACATATTCCCCTGTTATGGATGCGATTACTTTCAGATACTTGATTAGTTTGGCCGTCCATGAAAATCTTGAGATGCGTCTTATGGATGTTGTGACTGCTTACTTATATGGATCACTAGACGCTGACATTTATATGAAAATTCCAGAAGGAATTAGAATGCCCGAAGTACTAAAGTCCAAACCTAAAGAGTTATGTGCGATAAAGCTGCAAAGATCATTGTATGGCTTGAAACAATCCGGGCGTATGTGGTACAATTGTTTGAGTGAACAATTGCTTAAACGAAGATATATAAATAATCAAATATGCCCGTGTGTTTTTATAAAAAGATCACAAGATGGAGTTGTGATAATTGCTGTCTATGTCGATGATCTTAATATTATTGGGACTACAAATGAAATTCAAGAAGCAGTCACTTTACTAAAAGGCGAATTTGAAATGAAAGATCTCGGACAGACCAAATATTGTCTCAGCTTGCAAATAGAACAGGTCCAAAATGCGATATTTGTCCATCAATCTAATTACACTAAAAGAATACTGAAACGATTCAATATGGACAAGGCGAATCCACTTAGTACTCCAATGGTCAATCGAACATTAGATGTTGAAAATGATCCGTTTCGACCTTGTGAAGAAGATGAAGAAATACTTGCTCCTGAAATACCATATATGAGTGCAATTGGAGCTCTTATGTATCTTGCTAATTGCACCAGACCAGATATATCTTTCGCTACCAACTTATTAGCAAGATATAACTCGGCACCTACGAAGAGACATTGGAATGGAATTAAGCATATATTCCGTTATCTCCAAGGAACAATCGATTTGGGACTGTTTTACTCTAACGATAAAAAACATGAAATAATCGGTTTTGCAGATGCAGGATATCTCTCAGATCCCCATAAAGCAAGATCTCAAACTGGATACGTTTTTACGATTGGCGGAACTGCATTTTCTTGGCCTTCACAGAAACAAACATTAGTTGCAACATCTTCAAACCATGCTGAAATCATCGCACTTCATGAAGCAACTAGGGAAAGCATCTGCCTCAGAAACATGACTCAACATATTCAACAAGCCAGTGGACTATCGAACAATAATGACCCAACGGTGATATACGAAGACAATGCAGCATGTGTCGCTCAAACAAAAGAAGGATACATTAAGAGTGACAGAACTAAACATATCCCGCCAAAGTTCTTCTCATATGCGCAAGAGCTTGAAAGAAATAAACAAATCAAAGTTCAATACATTCGATCAAGCGATAATGCAGCTGATTTGTTTACGAAGGCGCTCCCGACGACAATGTTTCGAAAGCACGTACACAACATTGGAATGAGACATCTTCGGGATTTGTACAGATGATAACTCGAGGGGGAGTATGTGCGGCTGTAGTCTTTTTTCCTTATCTCGGTTTTTTTCCACAGGGTTTTTCCAAATAAGGTTTTTAACGAGGCAGCATAAACGCACATTTAATAGTGGTAATTCCAAGGGGGAGTGTTATAATATGTGGAATTTACCACTAATAATAATAATAATATTATCTTTTACATTATTATATTGTAATGTGCATTGAAGTGTGTGCTAGTGTATGATTGAAGGCTTAAACTTTGCCTATAAAAGGAGGCCAATGGTCATTGTAAATTTTACACGGAAAAGAAGTGAAAAGAAAGAACAGTTTGAGTTATATCCGGTTTTTATACATTGTGTTCTTTATATTCCCCGTAATTTATAACAAGGTGCATTTTTTTAGTTATTTAAAATAATTGAATGTTCGTTTTGAGCTAGACACATCACAAACGTTGTTGGACACAATTTGAAAGATAGAAATTAAAGTGGTTGGGAATTTGGTGCTAATTTAAGTCCATAAAATTGTAAAACAAGAAATAGTACCATTAATATAAGAAAACTAAAATTAGACTGTGAGTGGCAAATTTGGAGCGTCTTTAAAAAGTCTGATGCTAAGAGCGTTGAGCAAAGCCCTTGAGTATTGTCGAGACCCCATCTTCCAATCCATTCCAGTTGTCATCATCGCCTTGAACTCTGGGAAACTTATGCGCCCGTCCTATATATATAGTCACAGTTATTATGTCCGTGTACAAATTGAATAATTAAGCATCTCGGGAGGCATAAAAAATGGAGGGTAGATATGATGATACCTTGTCGAGGTCAGCATCAAAAATAATATCTTGTACCAGTTGGTCATTTGTAGGACCAAAGTGGTCATCTAATAAGAGTGAGAGTTGCAACTCTTCAAACTCAATGTATCCGCTCTGATTATTGTCAAACTGCAAGAAGGCTTGATGCAGTAATTCATCGTTGCTTATCTTCTGCAAGTGCACCGCCAGAGTCACAAATTCTTCACAATTAAGCATCCCATTTCCATCTGTATCCGCCTAATAATAACAAAATTATTATTTAATTTACCCGAGTCTGCCGTCGGTGTGTGTGTGTGTGTGGTGTGGCCTGTGGGTATATATTAATATCATATCATACTTACTGCATCAAGTAGTAGTTGGACATCATGATCCGCAACTGCTTGTCCAAACATATACAGTCCATCTTTCAACTCTTGAAAATTTAAGTTCCCATTCTTGTCTGTGTCCATTATATGGAACATTTCTTTTATCCCATCTACCTGCTCATCAGGCAAGTTATCTGCCACCACCTATAAACATATATTGAACATATATATATATATATCCCAACTAATACTATGCTGTCTGATGTGAATTGGGTGCCTAATTTGAATAAATCAGACCTGATCTTCTTGATTTGGCCAGAGGTCACATAACTTGGGTCAAAGAATTGCTTAATGCCTCAGGCACTGGTTGGAACTCATGGCTGGTATCTCAGCTCTTCAATGCTGATGATTGTAAGGCTATTCTAAACATTTCAACTCTGAAACCTGGAGCATCTGACAGATTTTACTGGTCCTTTGACAAGAAAGGAGTTTTTTCTGTTTCAAACACTTATTCTTATCTTACTGCTCAGAAACTTCTTTCCCTGGACTTACCTTGTAGCAGCTCTTCTTCTTTTGGAATCAATGCTGGATTTAATCGATGTTGGAAGCTTAAAGCTGCTGGAAAAATCCAGCATTTCATATGGAAATGTCTTTCTAGAACTCTACCGGTGAAGGAAAATCTTAAGAAACGAGGGATGGATATGGATATCATTTGTGAGAAATGTGGAAAGAGCTCAGAATCATTGGAGCATGTGCTGTTTCATTGTCCAGCAGCTAGAAGAACATGGGAACTTTCTGCAGTGTCATGGGATGGCCTCAACTCCTTCACTAACTCATTCTCAAGCTGGTGGTCACATATAAGCTCTCTTAACAAGTCTGTTATTGCTGAAGCCCGGATAGAACTCACTACGTATATGCTATGGTTGCTTTGGAAGTCCAGAAATCTCTGGATTTTTCAAAAAATCTCTCTGCCCCCCCCCCCATCTGATGGTCAAATTAGCCCACAAGGACTGGCTAGACTTTTCCCTTGCCAATTTGTAGTTTCTTTTTTGGGTTTGCTGTTTGCTTTTCCTTATCCATAGCTTTACTGTTGTTGTTTGGTTTCTTTTTTGGTTGTTTGTTTTGTTGTTTCCATCTGGGCTTCGGCAGTGGATGGTTTTTTAGTTCTTGATGTTTTAGTTGAGGTTCTAGGCCGCATTGTTGCGTGTCCTTTCAGTTTTCTGTTTCAGTTGTTGTGGATTGTATTCGAACAGTTTTCGTTGGTTATATATATCTCTATCGTTCCGGAAAAAAAAAAAAGAAAAAAAAAACTCTATGTTTTCTTTTATGTAATTTTATTTATGATAGAGTTGGTTAATAGCATTACATAGTATATTTTATTATTCAATACATAAATCATTGTTGATAATAAAATACACTAGTTGTTACCCGTGCATTTGCATGGAAAACTATATGATAAGAAATAAAATAATAAAAAATATAAACAATAGTAAAAATTATAACATAATCATTTAAAAAAAAGTTTTAAGAAAAAAATTCAAATATAATTAAACACTTCTTTATATACAACGTCCATAATTTTCGAAGCCCAATCTGATTTATTGATGTAGCCCAATAAAAGAATTTAGTAAGAGAATATTTTTAATAAGCCACAACCCATTATATTTCTTATAACTTAAGCTCAAACATTCACATCCCATTGTTTTATTAACAACGTCTAGACAAAATCAAACAATAAATTATTTTTCGGGCCACAAATGGGTCAAATGAAGTTGATTTCTTTTGAATCCAAGTAGTATCAAGGCTGATGTTTTTTTTTTTTTTTTTTTTTTT